TATTGTCTTGTAATATTACATCAAAACATACAGTTTTACTGTAAACTCAGGCACCAAAAGTCCTTTTCTGACACAGCACCGTCACCTTCACAGTACTGTGCAAATGTCAGAGACCACCCTTAATTTATTCAATTTCCAGTCAAAATGGCTATTATGTATAAACTATTCATTTTTATATTTCTGAGGAGGATGGGAGACCACCAAAACTGCCCGCATCAGATAAACAGTACTTAAAGCTTTCATCTTTGAGAGAAGATCAAGCTCCACTCTTTCTTCAGATCTGAAAAAATCCAGAGGCGTTTCTGTCCATCCTTCCACTGTGAGAAGACAACTTAATGCTATGGGTCTGTAAGGATGTGTAGCTGTCAAGAAGCCCTTACTGAGAAAAGGAAAGAAGAAATCAAGTAAAGAAGCTGCTGGTTTCATCAAAACAATGGACTGACCGCCCCGGAGTCCAGACGCCAATGTCACTGGATGTGTTTGGCATCACTTTAATCATGAGAAGCAGAAAATGCAAGCAACTTCTAAGACTGAACTTTGGAAGTGTGGAAAAATATTCCTGCAGATTTCTATGAAAAACTGAAACCAAGTCCTCTGGACAGAACGGAGGCTGTAATAAAGAAAAAAGTGAGCAGAATAAATAAAAATGTATTAAATTTAATTATTGAGGCTTCTGGTAACTTTCTGGCAAATTAACTTTTAACTTGTTAATGGCAGTTTTAACTGGAAATGAAATAAATTAGAGCTGGTCTTGGACTTTTGCAAGGCACCGTAAACCAAAATACACACAAAAGTATGTGGATTTGTTGATATGTCCAAGACATTTGATCAACTGTCTTATTTTTCAGGTGTTTTTTATTGTACATGACTGGAAAAGTAGTCTATAAATTTCCACTTTTATTTGCCGACATGCATAAACATTAGCTTAATTCCATGCTTTATGTCAACAGCATACTTGGTACATTTACCAATGTCACGTAAAGCTTGCCCACCTTCACAAGGGTTGCTATGAGAATGCAGTTATGGGCGGAGCATGGATACATAAATTATTAACTACTGAACTAAAGCACGTTATATAATAATAAGAGCAAGGGACTGAAGTGTGCACCTACTTACAGAGCCTTGGGGTTGGTTTCCTGGAAAGGGATCAAGTCTGGTCCTTAACTACACAACATTCTGAATGAGGTTTCTCCATTGAAAAGACTAGGCTAATTCCCTGTCCAGGAAACCGAACCCTAGGGTTTAGGGGGTTAACCTATCCATAGGGACCAAACATCCTCTTGGTACAACTACCAAAACAATTCTTGTGCTGACATTTTTGGTCCCAAGAGGCCGAAATGCAGCTTCTATTTTCTTAGATCTCTGACATTAAGCTTAGGGTTGGGTTTAGGTGTAGGCTGAAAAGTTTTTAGCTCCAGTAAATACATAGTTCAGTGCTGTACCCCAAAAAAGAGAGTAGTTTCAAGAGCGTCTGGTGTATGTGTGCCTGATCCCAGAATAGCAGACGGCCTGTTGAACAGGAGCAGGAGAATAACAGGGACTGCAATATGGGAAAAACAGTTCAGAAGGCTCACAAGAGGCACCTCACCTCACCTTTAGTGAGCATTATATTACATCAGGGCAGTCAGACATGGCTATCGGTGTGCAAATGCAAAAACGTTTAATCGACCTTGTATGTTTTATTGGGGAAGCGAACAGGCTAAAGCTGAGGAATGTGACAATGAGCAGCTAATTGCTCTGGAGCCATCCAGAGCTGTTTCATCTGGATAGGAGCAGCTGAGCCGGGCGTATTTGCTTAAAACGCTGGCTTAGGTCACCAGCACCCCTTTTAAAGCAGGTAACAAAGGCCACTTCTAGGTATGTTTGACTAGGTAAATTGCGATTAGTCTCAGCTCTACTCCTACAATTGGAATGACGAGTACCCATGATTAAATCAGAAGGCCAGATAATAAATTCAGAAGGCCCAGGGTGTACAGGGGGGTCATATTTACATACTGGCCATAGCAGAGCTATCAATTTGAATATGTCCATAGGAGCTCAAACAAGGCTAGTGTGCTGCCTGTCCTGTAATAGCTTAAAGCAATAGTCTAGCACAAAATCAGCTTAACCCTTAACCTCTTACTAGCTAGTTCTCTCAACATGATGCTACCGGCGCTAAGGCTAGCACATTTTTCCTCTAAGTGTTGTGACAGCCAGTGCATCTTTTTGAACAGCCGCTAATGCAGAATCATTGGACAGCAATGCAAAGTCTTTGGACAGCTTCAGACACTTACGAAGAATGCTTACCGCCAATTCTGTTATGTTAGCTAACAGACATGTTGGCTAGCATCATGCTAAGTGATTGGGGGGCATCCTACCCACTTACAGTTGTGCTGTCTTGGACTCCCAGTCATAGATGGCTGTGGTATCACTGGCTTCGAACTTGCCATGTCCTGATGATATACGGTGGCTTGCTTGCCTTATATTATCTGGCATGCTATATAAGGAGTTATATAAGAAAATGATCTTCCACCCACTGAGCTGTATAAGGTCCTAGGAGTTTGCTCTAAGCCTGCCTCAACTGAGTGAAGTGAGGTCTAGATGGACTATAAACCTTTATCAGGTCAATAAACTATGCTGCAGCTAAGCCACTAAGAGCTTTAAATGTCATTAACGAGGCCTTGTAATCAAACAGGAAACCGGTGTAAACTGAATAAACAGTAATATGGTCAGTTTAAGCCTGTTTAGTGAGACAGCAGGACAACCAGCCAGTAACACATTACAGTGATCTAGTCGTCTAGTAGTTGAAAGCATGAATCTCAACATCTTGCACGGATAGCATGTAGTTTTTATGGATATGTTTTATTACTGTTTTTCAGACTGTGTCAGAAACCTCATAAGTCTGTTTGAGATTACTTAACCACCCGAAGTGGTTTGAGGCAAGGGTGTGATGACTTATGCATATAGTTTGCACAATGCGGACCTACCAGCTAAGCCTCTATTGCTTGTCAGCTACATTAGCCTCAGAGCTCCTGTGCAAAAAAAAACAACAGAGCCAAACTTCTTGGCTGATCGACTACATTTGAGGTAAGGCCAGGTAAAAAAAAAAAATCTGATTCATGGTCAAAGCATTAGCTCAAAGCTGCTGAGCGTAATGGTACAGTAGATGCTGGTGGTGGAGGTTCCCAGTCCTGAGGGAAAATTGCTTAAGAGGGGTCTGTCTAGCAAGACAAACAAATGAGTCATTGCTTCATTATAACCAGCCTATGAAGAGCACGCACACCCTGGCTGGAGGGTGTGCACACATACTCACATTCTCTCTCTCTCTCTCTCTCTCTCTCTCTCTCTCTCTCTTTCTCTCTCTCTCATGTTTGTATTCCTGTCATTGTGGGCTTTTTTCATTGACTTCTGTGTAACTGTAGCTAAATGCTACTGTGCTGCAACTTAACCTAGCTCTATCCTTAACCTCAAAGTCTTTATAGGAAATTTTGTCCACTCTGTGTCCATCTTGGGCAGTTATTTCCAGTCCTACAAGACCAGGTTCCTGTCTCTTTGAATGAGGATAGACCTATAACCCTGAAACTGAGAGAACCGTTAATGTTTCAAAAACATATTTCAAATTAATGGTACATATTTGACCAAAATCGGCTCAAATAATTTGCAAACAGGTTGCAGGCTTTTCCTACTTGCAACTAGGGCTGGGAGTCAATCCTAAAGGCATACAGGAACTCTAAGTCTTTGGATTCGATTCCTCATAGCGAGATATTTTGCTGTCACTATCCAGACCAAGCATGTCAAACTCCCCAGTTCACCTTCCAGGCCAAAGTGCTGTGGAGATTAGTGTTTACCCTCATCTAACGCTCTGAATTCAGTTAATGAAGGCCTTACTAATTAGCTGATGAGCTAAATCAGGTGTGTTTAATGAGGCAGTGTGCTGAAGTCTGAAGTGTTGTGGCCCAAGAGGACTGGAGCCTGACACATGTGATATAGTCTGTATGAAAAATACTTCCTTCTACATACATCGGTAGTCCAGCTATATTTCAGTTGTACTTCAAATAAAATGGGAAAAAAATGTTACATTTTGCCCCCATTAGTCAGCTAAGCTAATTCAGCTGTCATTAGCTCTCCAAATTTGCAATTAATTTACAATTAATTGTTTTACACTTTATTGTTGGTAGATGTCCATGATATGTCTTGGTTTTTTGGTCATTTTTTGCACAGAATTGACTCTTGGAATCAGTTCCCATCACTTTGAATCAGAGTAGACATTCCATTTTTCGGAAACAGACTAGCATTCATTGATGCTGTTTTAAGCTAATCTGTGCTGGTTTATGCTGGTGTGGTGGTTTAGCTGGTCACCCAGTATGGTCATAAGCTGGTAATAAGCATATTAACTTCCATTCCTGCTCACCACTCTGAGGCAGACCAGTAATGCATCTCTAGTTAGACGTTTTTATGGGTGAAGCAGGTTAAACAACTACTTTTGTAGTAAAATGCAGAATTCTGAAAGCTGAAATCAGAGATGCCAGTGCCTAGTTACAGTTTAGCAAAGGGTCAGTTGGTGCAAGTAGGCCTGTGAGTGGTGTGGGTGGGGCAAGGGGCGGCCTCAGCGGTGCCGGACACATTCCTGAGCCAGATGGTGGACTTACAGAGCTCACTCATGAGTACTGATAAGTGCAAGTGCCCCTCTAAGCAAATGCCTAGTTTGCTTATATGGATGTATCGGCCTCAACTGCCAAATTGGTTGGGATGTATCGGCCTCACCTCTCAAATTCAGACATTGGTGTCTGAAGTTTGTTTCTTTACATTTGCATTGGAGCTATAAGGCTAATCTCGCTAACCAGTAATAGAAGCTTATACCAAATTAGCATTGTGCAAACCTACCAATTTCAGGCAAGTTATGGCAAGTTTGCAATGTAATATAAGTGGCTTCATTAGAGACTGATGTCCCATAATTGATAGATTGCACTTTCAATACAAGAATAGCAAGTTACACCAAGAACAACACTCCAGACTCTGAATGTTTGTTTATGCTTTATTATATTTACTAAGATGTATCTACTTTAGACCATGAGTGGGGCTGAACATGCCTTGCATGTGTATTAACTACAGGAAGCGCTGAGCAGGTGTACATCACAAAGCTTCTACTGACCCTAATACTTATACTAACGTCATAATAAGAGCATGTATGAAGGTCTTTATTGGTTGCCCTTGTCTTTGCCCTTTCCCTTGCCATGCTTCTTCCTGAAGTAGCCCCTGGCAAGAAGTGCCACGCACTGACTGAACTCGCGGAAGTTCACCTGGCCATCATGGTTCTTGTCGATTTTGTCCAGGGCTTCTGTGATGTCGTCTTTGTCTATCTTATCCTAAAAGACAAGAACAAAGGAAGGATCTTCCATCAAAACGCAATATATTGCAATACACTGTCCATATATTCCATCACCCAAATGATTTGGATATCAAAGTCATTTTAGACCCCCATTCCCCCCAGCTCCCTTTTTCTACATTTTTCTCTCTCTTATGTTGGTACAGCTTAATCTTCATCTTGTCTGTCCACGTGCATCGTGTGGTGCCACTTATATGTATTGATGTGTATCATCTATATAAATACGGAAGGAGACCCTTATGGTCTGTGTGAAACTGGATCCAGTTGCAGTATGCAAAAAGAGAAGATGAGTGGGCCAAGGATAGACCCTTGGGGAACGCCATGAAAAATATTGTGCCTTTAAGAAAAATGCCTCTGCTAACAAAACAAATTGCTGTCTTCAACTCTTATATGTGCTAAAACAAATTAAGACAGTTAAAAAAGAGAAGACGAGTGGGCCAAGGACTGATCCCTGGGGAACATCATGAAGAATGTTGTGTCTATAAAAAAAACCTTATGCTAACAAATCGCTGCCTTCCATGAATATATGTGCTAAAACAAATTAAGGCAGTTTAAAAGAGAAGATGAGCAGGCCAAGGATTGATCCTTGGAGAACACCATGAAGAATATTATGCCAATTTTCCAGTTAAAAAATATCTATTCTAAGACAATCCTTCCCCTTATATATGTGATAAAATAATTTTAGACAGTTCCACAAATACTGATCCACTTTTTAGGCGTACTTAACAATGTTCTGTATGTTGTTTGTTTAAAACTCTTCCCCTGAGCAATGGAGAACATGCACAATTAGGGAGTGGCTACTTTGTGTGTGACTCATCACAAGCTCCAGAGAAGAAAGGGATATTCTGGAGTGAGTGGTGTGGTGGGGGCATGACTCATACAAGGAATCCCCTTCACTGGCGTGGTTGCTATAACAGCCGTCCTTTGATGCCCAGCCCCATTTTCTGTTGTGTGGGTGGATTGTTTGAGCAAGAGCAGATTCCTGAGTTTGAACATAGCACTTGAAAAGAGTTTTAAAAAAGGGTTTGTTTTAAAATACTTTTGACAGCTTTGCAAGAACAGTCTGCATTTTGTCTTGTAAAAGAACTGATGCTAAACATATTGCTTTGCATTAAACCACACATTTGTAAATTTAGCACAATGACTGAAGGCTGCATTATACTTTATTTTAACTATGCAAATGTGTGCACAGCTGCTGCACAAAGCAGCACTGTTCACAAGCTTGTTTGCATACCTTTCGTGTATCTACAAGACTAAAAGCTACGTCCATTAGGGGGCAGAACGTGTCAGAAACGTTCCTGTCCAGCTCCTGGGACTTTTATTGAGTCACTTTTTCTGATTTTTCACAAGATCTATGATAAGTTTGGCAAAAGTTGAGGAAACTTACTGTTTATATCAAGAAGTTATAAGAAGTAGTTGTTGTGGTCTGTTCAGTTTACTAACCGATATCCTGTCACATGATGTGCTGTCCCAACCTTTTGCATTGGTGTTGCATCTAATCTCACAAACAGTGCTCTAAATGAAAGAAGAACTTGCAAAGAAGTACTAGAGCCTTAAGTTGCTCTTAAGTGTCTTGTAAATTCTGTACATTTTCTATCTGTATTATAGGTCAAATCAAAACCTTGTAATCTCCATTTCCATCCATGTATTTACATTTGCTGTTCATTTATGGTCTGCTTACCATATACATTACCAGGCTGATATCATAGACCTTTATTTCCTTGATTTGTAGTTAAAACAGCCATTTAGTTTAAGTTTTTAGCATCAGCAAAAAAATATACACTCCTGGACAAACAAATGGGCCAAAACAATGGTCTTAACAACATAGCATTAAACAACTATACACAGTAACTTAATATGGGATAGCTTTGATTTTTTTTTTTATGTTGGAAGTTTTGTGTGTAAATTATGCTGACAGCCTTTTACAGAAAGGGGAGTCAGTATTTTTCCCCTCAGCATTGATGGCTTCAAACAGTTGAACAACATTGCCAAGCTAGTTTGTGTTTAATGTGACACCAACTATTCTCTAAAGGGTTTAAAGCTGGACTCTGATCAGCCCAAAACTATCAGTAAAAAACATTATATTTTGGGCGTGGCCCATTTTTTTGCCCATGATGTACTGTTTATCTGATTGGGACAGTTCCAAAATACTTCACAGCCATCTTTGCATTCATTCATCCAACCATCTAGCTAAACAATGAATCTAAACAACAGTTTATGCAGTATGACCTAAATGAACCCCACCACGTTCTCACCTTGAAATCAGGGCTGCTCAATTGGCTCTTTAGCAGCTCGCTGAGCTCTGCACCACTCAGCTCTCTCTTTTTGTCATCTGTCCCGGCATACTCCTCAAACACTTCCACTATTGACACAATGGCTTTCTCCAGCTTAGACATGGCTGAGAGAGAGATAGAGATTATTAAACAACAGTAGTTCAGAGACAGAACCACAGCCTGAGTTCATCTTCCAGCTTATCAGACTACTTTTTGTTGCTAGCTATCAGATCCAAGCCATCTACCAAGGAAACTGAATATACTATGTGGGTTAAACGATTTGGAGAAATCCCTCATTGTGCAAAATTAAAAAGCTCAAAATACACATCAGAGGGAGAAACTTCCTCGCACAGAAACCACTTTTCAGCTGTCAGAAATGCCTCTTTGGAATTTCAGCCCGTTTTCTTTGTCACACAATGATGTAATCTTGTAACACAATCCTTATTGCCCGCCTACCTGCAAGCTTGGCACACCCTCACACAACACACAGAAACTACTGGAGGCCGAGAAGAGTTTGTTCGGTTTTGTTACCCTGTCGAGAAGACACTGGCCTGACTTTCAGGATCGGACTTTGGGTCAAACTACAGCAGAACTGACACCATTGGGGAAAAAAGCCACATCAGCGTTTAGGGCTGCTCAGGAGAGAAGGATCTGTCTGCAGACTGCAAGACAGGGGCAGAACATGTAGAGGCAGAACCGCTCTGGCAGTTGACCAATCAGAACAGAGTGGGCAAGTTCACCAAATAGAGTACACTGGGATCATCGGGAGGCGTGGCTTAAAGACACAGGCGCTCTAACACAGCATTTCAGACAGAGGGTGGATAGAAATGTACAGTATGAGAAAAATAATTAATATTTTTGGAATATTGAATGTATTTTTGAATGTAAATGTTTTCTAGTAGACCCCAAAAATAAAATGAACATTGACAACGAGCATAATAGGTCTCCTTAAGTTTAAGCCCTTTTTTTTATTTGTTTTTGACAGTCGCAACGTTTAAATTTACAGCTTTGAATTTATCCCTAAATCATTTAACTTAAGATAAACTCTTCTGCAAGTGGCCACAAGCCTGTCGTTTTGACCAAGCAGGCCAGCATATCAGTGTTTTCCGGCTTTTTGAATGCTGAACACTGTGTGCCAAACAGCCAGTTAGCTGTGGTTGTGTTGTTCTGTGCATGTTATGTAGATGTGGGCTTGTTCTGTGTTTTTAGGTGAAGTTGTCTCACCTAAAACAATGTTGATGATGATAGGTTATAATTAAAATGGCAGGTCTTGCAATCAAGGGAAACACCTTTCAGACAGCCTCAGGTGAAACAGCTTCAGAGATGAAAGTACCAGGCTAAGCTAAGCAGGCACTGTAAAGTTATTTACTAGCAATAAATGAAAACACCCAAAGCCAGCTGAATGGCATGAGAAATTCTCTGGTGGAGTTTTTAGTCTTTGTGAAGTTGAACGTCAGGCTTTGCACTAGGGCCCCCATGAGTCAATACAAATAAGATATACCATAAGTGTTCATGTTAAAAAAAAATATATATATATATACATATATATATATATATATATATATATATATATATATATATATATATATATATTGTAGCAGTTACAATAGTATGAACAAGAGAATTATGTGATAATCTACATTTTGGAATTGAGGTTATTCAGGATGATTTTTCTAGGTGCTGAGAGGGAAAATCAGTGTCATTTAAGTGTAGCAGAGAAACGTAAAAATGGAAGAAAGCAAAATGTTGCTTCACTCCCAAAGCTAATTTAATTTGCTCAATCAAAACAGAGTTCTGCACAGGTTCAGCAGACAGTACATAATGCTAGCATTAATGTCAATATAGATCGCTCCAGTGCTTAACTCAAAAACATAAGCTGTTACTAATTATTACTGTTAAAATGTAGTGGGATTATGTTATGGAAAAAGCAATCTCATTACTCGTATGTAACTCTGTAGCAAATTATCTCATTATATTGGCTCTACTCGGGAGCAAGATGCAGACGATTGTGCCACTAAGAAGCCCAGTGCTGCAACAAAATGAAAAGTGTGCATTCAGGGGGCTCCATTTCTTTTTTTTATCTAGAGCCCCAGAATCACTAAATCCACCCCTGCTTACACACTGGTTAAATTAGCACTCCCTCCATTTTGTATGTTCAGTGCTACAAAGATCTGCCCAACATTACATAAAAATAAATGCAGTGCAAATTCAGAAAACTTGGCTGGCTAGTTATCTGACCATGTCATATCTGGTATTGCTATTTGAAATTCTACAGTTACAATCTACAGCTAATGCCCATTATGACACAATGATATTAGTTATCTCTTCAAATAAGACGTATTTTTCGTGTGAATGTTTATGCTGCATAGAATTCAGAAGTTTGAATGGCTCCTTCCCTTTTGAGTGTCCTCAGGAAACCTTTCCATTGTGTTCTGACTGTGTTTCTGAAGTTGCATGCGTTTTCTGTATTTGCAGAGCTAAATTAACACAGTTAATTTACAACCCCATTTCCAAAAGAGTTGAGACGTTGTGCAAAATGTAAATAAAAACAAAATGCAGTCACATGCAAATCATTTAAACCCTATATGTCATTGAAAATAGCCAGACAACATATCAAATGTTGAAACGGAGAAATGTTATTGTTTTTTGAAAACTATTTGCCCATTTTGAATTTGATGCCAACAACATGTTCGAAAAAAGTTAGGATGGGGGCAACAAAAGGCTGGTCAAGTTGTGCAATGCTAAAATACACCTGATGGTTGATTGGCAACAAGTCAGTAACTTGACTGAGTATAAAAAGAGCATCTCAGAGAGGCTGAGTCTATCAGAAGTAATGATGAGGAGGAGTTTACCACTTCTTGAAATACTGCAAAAGCAAATAGTGCAACAGTTCAAAAATAACATTTCTCAACATAAACTTGCAAAGACGTTTTGCTTTTCATCATCTACGTTACATAATAACATTAAAAGATACAGAGAATCTGGAGAAATCTCTGTATGCAAAGGGCAAGGCCAAAAACCAGTATTTGCTGGCCATGATCTTTGGGCCCTCAGGTGGCACTGCATAAAAAACAGACATGATTCTGTAGAGGAAATCGCTGCATGGGTTCAGAAACACTTCTGAAAAACACTGTCCATGAAAACAGCTGCCACCTTCTCTGGGCCCAAGCTCATTTAAAATGGATTGAGGCGAAGTGGAAAAGTGTCATGTGGTCTGACGAATCAAAATTTAAAATCTTTTTTTTTTTTTTTTAATTTTTACCCGATTTTCTCCCCAATTTAGTCATCTCCAATTCCACCCGCTAGTTAGGACTCCCCCAATCACACAATGCTATCAACGCTAGGAGGGTGAAGGCTAACACAGGCTTCCTCCGAGACCTGTGAAGCCAACCACCGCTTCTTTTCGAGCTGCCGCTCACGCAACGTCACTGGACAGCTGAACGCGCTCGGAGGAAAGCGCCAACCGCCAGATCTGTTACGTCAGCTAACAGACGCCTGCGCTGACTAGCATCACGCTGAGTGATGGGGGGAGAAGGAGGGGCCATCCTACCCACCCAGAGAGAGCGAGGCCAATTGTGCTCTCTTGGACTCCCGGCTACGGATGGCTGTAGCATCACCAGGGATCGAACTCGCGATCTCCTGATGATAGGGCCAACACTTGGACGGTTGCGCCACTCGGGAGCCCCTAAAATCTTTTTTTGAAATCATGGACAGTGTCCTCTGGGCTAAAGACCACTCAGCTTGTTATCAGTGCACAGTTCAAAAGCCAGTATTCATGATGGTATAGGGGTGCATTAGTTCACACGGCTTGGGTGACTGGCACATCTGTGCAGGCACCATTAATGCTGAACGATAAATACATGTTCTGTCTCTTTCAGGGAAGGCCTTGATTATTTCAGCAAGACAAAACCAAACCACAGTATGCATGTATTACAACAACATTGCTTTGTATTAAAAGAGCCTTGTAGTATTTTTTTCTTTAAAAATACATTTTACTTGATTTACACATCATTGCGTTCTATTTTTATTTACATTCTGCACAGCGTCCCAACTTTTTTGGAAATGTGATTGTATTATCATTTTGATACGTTGTTTTCTGCATCTGTGGTTCGTTTTTTTATTTTTTATTTTTTATTTTAGAATGCGAATTTGCATTTCAAAGTTCACTAAAATTCGCATTTCACCCACAAAATGTATTCACTGCGGCACAAAATCGTCAAAAACGTCACAGAATCAAAATGCAAGTGTTCAGTTACAGTAATACTAAGTCCAAATCTTCCAAAATAATAATACTTAAGTATAGTGCAGAACTAGCTCACTATGTGAACTACAAACTAGTAATGGAACTACAAGAACCACAATCCTCTTGGGAGTCAAAACAGAATTCCAGCTGCCTGCAGAACTGTAACTTCATTATTCCCCAGTGTCCCCTAAAATACGTTTTTCTAATCTCTGCTCAAACAACACACACTTCTCACCAAGCACTGCGCAAATGGTTTGTATGCTATGCGAATAGCGTATCAGCCTTTTAAAGCCATTTGGAAGCAAAGTTAAACAAGCCCGCATGATTTATGACACCTATCTGAGCATCATATGCCTTTCATTTCTGCCTCTTGTGCTACACTGTGCTCAATAACGCACCCCCCCACCCTCTCACCTGAATTTGTGCAGAGTGTGCAGTGATCTCAGATGATAACCGCTTAATGCAGCTTGAGAGAGCACTTTTAACTGCACTAATACAGCTGTGATTCATGCCTGGGCAATGCGAGGTCTGCTACACGCCCAAATTTGCACCCCTTAGGCCACAGAAAAAAGAAGAGTTGAGGGTGGGGTGGAAGAAAAAGGAAATATGGAAAACAGTGCTAGACTATGCATATCATTTAGATTGTCAGATCCTCTTATGATTACAAGTGCAGTTCAGAAGTATATATAGGAAATAGTGCTTCTTACTCGCACGGCATGGGTTAACATTCATGGAGACTTTCCATTCCGGGCATTCTGACTCACTGAAGCTTTCCATCCTGCCCCCCTTCTCTCTTCCCTTTTTTGTTTTTGTATGCTTTCCTGACATTACAACACTGCATAACTGACCCGACTTTCTCCAGGCTTCCTTTATGCAGCATATCAGGGATATTTAAGTAAAACGTCCAGTTATATCAGACGTTTCGCTTAAAAAGGTCTGTTGCTCTAACATAAGTGAATGCCCACCCAGCTGGCAAACTCATCTGTCCCAATTGCCCCTTACTGCAGGCACAGTCGGCAGAGTGTCAGACATAGCCATGAACGATACGGCCAGCACCGGTTCGTTTTTGCCACAGCTGGGTTTGGTTAGTACTTATAGTACTTATAAAGCTCTGGACCAACTCTGGATGGATGGATGTGGCTCTGCAGCCACTCTGTCCCCCATTTTTAACAAACACTCGTCCACTTGGTTTCATCATTTTCCCTCAGCGGAATCCCCAGCGCCATCTTCAGGGCCCTTCCATTACTTTATTAGATGAGATGAAGGGTGTTAGAGGAGCCCTCGGAGGGCTGAGGGATCGACCAAACACTGGTGGCTGGTTAGATGACATAGGCTACCACGATTAAGGGGCTGCAAAGAAACAAGCAAGATGGAGAGCCGGGCAGGACAAGCAATTGCCCGCCTAATGGGGGCTGAAATTTCCGCGCCACCCAAACAATGTCCACCTTGCATCTAGGAACACATACACGCCATACAATGCAAAGCCATTTCTCAAAAGAGCTCTGAATTAGGCATTTCAGAAAGCAGCCTTTGAAAAGCTATGTGCTACAATCGGACCATCTCTATATCAATATCATTCATCTAACTTTTCTACCTTGTCTTAGCGTAAAACTCTTTTTACAAAATTTGTTTTTTTTTCTCTCCAGCTTTTTAAATTCAGTTTTTTTTTGTACATTTTCAAAATTCGCAAAAGGTGGGTGGATGGGAAACCCGCTGCAGTCGACTCCAGGAGCATTTATGTTTGGCCAAAACTGAACACTGCATTCCAGCATAAGAACCTCATTCCAACTTTGAAACACAGTGGTGGCAGTATCACGGTTTGGTGCCATTTTACTGCTATTGGACCAGGAAAACTTGCCATCATTTAATGGTGCTATGAATTCTGGATGTGAGGCAGTTCAAGTAAATGTGTAAGGTTGACCAACAGTTATAGGGACCAGTTGGTTAAAGTGATTGCTGCTCAATGCTGCTCATCTGGATTTGGGCCAGTGTCTTTGGCCAGAAGTGGGCCAGTGTTTCATAAGTAGTTGGCATGTTGGTTAAACTTATCTTTCTATAAATGTTTTAAAAGTGGTAACTGAGTGACCAGTCAGTTTAGAAGCACACACGCCAATAGAGAATGTGTTAAATGTCATCGATAATGAGGCTGGGCACTGAGCCAAAACATAAGCAGACACCCAAGAGAAGCCAAGGAGGAAAGACATCCGATATGCAAGATAGAGCCTGGAGGCAATAAAGTTGTTGAATGCAAGAAATCATTTTTTACAAGAAAAAACTTTAATGATGGCAGGTGGAAAAATTTGGAAAAACACAGTTAATTCTTTTTTATCTGACTTGATCGACTGAACTAACTTTTGGGATAATTACATTCTTTCAGCATTGTTACTTTAGTACATTTTGAAAATGGGTCAGTTCAGTATCTCATATCAACTTAATTTGTTTTCTTAACTTGTACAAGAGCCACTAGGGACATCACTATCTATTATATTGGCAAATGAGTAATCTAGCAAATTTTTGACGATTAACTGAGAAGGCCAAACAATTAAGGAGACTAAATTTAGCAATAATAAATTAGCCTTTACTGAGAAAAAAATCAATAAGGAAGCCAATAAAAATTACTTAATCATTCAATCGTTTAGATGTAAACAAAATCATTCAGAGTGGTTTGGTGTAAAATGCACCTTTCTAGAGAAATGTACGAGTCAAAATCGTTCACCATTGCAGTACTAGGAAACACATGTTTATAAGTCTACACTACAAATATCACCTTTTTATCTGCTATCCAAATGACCAGTGAGCTTACATGTGTCTCATAATGTTTTATATGTCATGCTGATAATGGTAAAATGTGATGTGTGTAGATGAAATACCTCTTTGGGGTACTATTTATTTCTTACAATGCCCTACATGTGCCTCTCTGCCCGGCACGCTTTTGTGTTGTTTTTGTTGGTGGCATTGCATCACATGGTGTCAGCAAAACCTATAGCTTACGTGAGTAACGTTATTTATCAGAGGAGCTGCAATAGATCATAGTTGTACCTCGCTGTCCTACCCCATAAACTGGTGAGCAATGTGGCAAGTAGTTTGTTGTTGACACTGTTAATTTCTATTCGCCCTGGGTTCTTCTGCTTTGGCGCTGGCGGGTTCGCGCTCTTTCTCTCTCTTCCTTGTTTGCTCTCTCTTCTTCAAGCCACTACAAGTAATTTGTGTGTTCTGGTTTAAAACGCTATGGCTCTACGACATTTTGGAAACAGACCTTATTGAAGTCCTCCACACACTTTACCAAAAATAGGTAAGAATACTATAAAAGCAAATAGAACAAAAGCTGCTGCCGATGTTGTATCCAATTCAGTTCCCCCTCAAATTCACGTTGCCTTTGGCAGATCAGGTCCTCGGGTGCGTGCGTTCACTGAACAACAACAAGCAACACTGGAACTATGGAAAGCGAAAAGATTGAATGGCCACGTGTTTCATTCACCCAAGATAACACGGCATCATTGAGATTTCGTGATAAATATTCTTTTCAATTTGAATAAACAGTAAACAGTCGTACTGATAAAGACTTTTTGTACATTTTGCGTGAAAACAGCTGCCGTACAAACTTTTTTTGAACCTTTTTGCTTTCTGTAGTTCCAGTGTTACTTGCCGTTGTTATCTGTTTAGTAAAGGTGCGCGCCTGAGGACCTGATTTGTCAAAAGGATTGTGAACTTGAGAGGGAACTGAATCAGATGCAACACTAGCGTTAACCGTGTTGAACGGCTGTAGCTACAGGCTGGGAACTACAAAAGCATGCTAGCCTGCACGCATTAATCTCAGTTGAGAATACAGTTTTGAGAGGAAACATGGAAGTAATCCTGGAGTAATAGTTTGTCTATGTCTGAGGTATCATGCTACGCATTCATAACTATTTTGTGTAATAACTTAATGGGATGTAGCTTTTAGAGCCATTAAATGCTTTGGACGCCTGGTTCCTAGTGCTATAATGGTGAACAATTCTGACGGTAAATTTCTCTATAAGGGTGCATTTCACACCAAACCACTCTGAATGATTTATGTGTCAATGTTTATATCTAAACCACTGAATGAGCAAGTCATTTAGCAAAATCAAGTTCTTCTTTAAGAACATTTTTTTTTTTTTTTGGTACAATTTTTCCATTATTCACTGACTCTTTTTTGGTAAAGTGGTGAGCCTCAAAATTTGTTCATGGTGGAGAGTTAGATTCAGGGTGTTATCAGGCAAAATAGTCCCCAAAGAAAACGTTTTTTGCCAGATTTATGACTATTTTACCATGATCAACATTACTTAAGTCAGAAGACAAGTAGGCTCACTGACAGTTTTGGTTAGTAAACACAATGGCTATATTTGTGTTATATATCCTAGGGCCCCTGGTTCCTTTGACCACCGCTGAAAATAAGAGTCAGTCTGCAGCATTAAACCTCAAACCACTCAGAATGACTTTGTTTACATCTCGACCTCTGAGTTATGCAGACAAGTACAATTGAAGTATACTTCGTTCTGTGTGAGTCTGTACATGGACCCTGATTTATGGTGATGATATAATTACACCTGGTTCTTCAGCCTTTCAGCTTCTCCTCACCTGATCCACCCTCACATCCACACCCTCTTCTCCCACATACATTAACAGGCTTTAGGGTTTTTTTTATATACAAAACGGAGCCCATTTGATAGGATGGAGCAATAAGCCCTTTGGCTGTTTTTCCTATCATAGCATGTGAGCTCATCACCCACCTTGATCCCACAGCAAAAGCTTCAACCTGTTTCCCATGAAACAGCCAAAGACACTTTCAAAGAACTATTCACAAAATATTGACCCTAAAACAACACTAGCAGCCTGTACTATGTTCATTTTTAAGGATAACACTATCAGAAATACTAGACAGAATCCATATTAACTAGTCTATTTGACATTACTTAATAAGGAACTCCCAGGTTTATGAATAGTTAAGTCATTAGAATGTAAACAGACTCATTCAGAGCGGTTTATTAAGAAATGCCTTATTGTAAAGAAGCTTGTCGACTGTTCACAATGGTAGTGATAGGAACCAGACATCTCAAAGGTATAAACGCTGCATCAGAGATATGAAATGGTTACACATATGCTGACACTATTTTATGATAGTTTTCAAGAATATTTTAAAAAATGGCAGAGAGGTACATGCAGACCCTTGTAGGTCAAAATATAACATTTACCATCATCAACTTTACATATAAAAACTTGTGTAGTTTTGAATAGTAAATGAAAAGGCTATATTTAAGTTGTAGACATTGTGACCCCTGATTTCATTCACTGTGAAGAACCCAGTCTATACGTTTCTCTGCATTGTAAATGAAATCTGTTTAAAAAGAAAAACAAACACAAAAAAAACAGTCAAAAGTCCATTAACAGGAGTGCCAAAACACATAAATTACCATTAAAGTACGTTTTCTCAATGACAGAAAAATCTGTAAAAATCCAGTCATTTAATTACAGCCTTTTACAGTAATGCAACAGTTTTACTAGTTCAACATCTTACTCTCACATTC